TTTGAAGTTGAACCATCTTTGGAAGATTAAAAGGAAATGAGAATGTTGTATTGTCTCATGTTGCTGGTTACATTCACTTGAGAACATGGACAGGCAGGCTCTGTTTGAATTCCAGTTTATGCCCTGGTCTTCAGGCCAATCTAAAAAATGAGGACACTTGTTTTGTCAGGTGACAGTCTTTTTTGAAAGCATGGTAAATAATACGCTTATTCTGTGAACCGATTACGAAATAAAACCAATTATATGCATTTGAGGTGGTTTACAATGTCTTGTTGCCGATGTTCATATTTTTGTACATATATTCTGTGATGACATTGAAAGTGATATTGCAGTTTGTTTGTGGATTGGAATTGTAAAATGTTTTGCTGCTTTGTGTTCAAATATTATTGAATTTGTGACTACATGCTCCAATCGTGTTATTTGTCTTTCACAAATATTATTTCAAAGTTTTGAGAGGGTTTATAGATTGCCTACTTATAGTTCCACTCTGTCCTGAGAGTAATACATTTAGCAGGAGATTCGGGTCAAGCATTAAGAGGCAGGGCTTAGGGAAGCAAATGAATAAAAGGACAAATTTGGACATATTAGGAATGAAAATGGCATGCACGTTACTTCATTAGCATGGGCTTAGAACAGCCAGGGAATCAACCAGTGCTTTCAGGGAAATATGAGCATGATTTCTTCGACTCAATTAGTTGTTGCAGGAATGCTGGGTCAGAGGTCATTCCACAATTATTGACAGTCTTCGATGTCTTTGGGTCGCTTTCAGATGCATAATGCAAGGAAAATAATTACAGCAAAAGTCTTGGTACATATTGCTGCAAAGTTTGAGGAGGCGGCACTGCTATTGCACACGTCAGATTTAATTAAGTTAAGATTTTGATTACACGGCTGGGAAGTTCTGTTGCTTAAGCGAGGGCCAGTCTTTATTTGGCTTCCCTGTTGGTCATATTTCCTTCTGAAACTGACAGATTTCTTGTAGTATTTTTCTGATGGAGTGTTTTTTTGATCAGCCAGCCAGAAAGACAGTATAATTTCATATTTCGCTCTTGTTGTGATTTCATTGCTCGACACGAATTATTTTCATGTCATCTGTTCTATTGTGTAAGTGGACAGTTTTGTGCATTACGCTTTGGTTTTAATCAGCAGGACTTCCGTTTCTGAGTTTTTGTGGGGTGCGTGTTTGCCATCGCTCCCTGCAGGCCCACTCCCCCTCTGTCAAAATGGCATTGTTCGAGTCCACTCGGCCGTGCAATTATTTCGTCGCATCAGATGACTAATATTATAATAGGGTTGATGAATATCATTTTCAGATTCACTCATCAAAATGTGAATTCAGCATTAAAATTTAATGGTGTTTTAGGGTTGTGTGATGGATTGAAGAGGGGGACAAACGAGAGAAGCAGACGACTGTGGCAGCCATCTTGGATTTGTTCACACACATTGAAAATGTCGCTTCAGCTTTCTTCAATTTAGCCTCCACAGTAATTAATGAGTCACAATTCACTCTGTTGCATGACAGATTAATCAAATTAAAACATTTGGGGATTGCAAATCAAACAAATTTGGAAAAATAACCCGTCATTGCAGGAATATCAAATGAGTATCTGGGGATTATATAACCAATATGTTAAGAGAAGATTTGAAATGACAAATATTGGAATAGCCTTTGTGACTTGTCTCAGCATCGATGATGAAAAAGTTTTGGAACAAAAGGCCGCTTCAAACAAAATATTCTTATCAAACATGATCATGGGATCAACTCACCAAAGTTAAAAACACAAATCTTTGATATGATGCTGGCTAGTCTGATGAAAGTAAATATGTGAGCCTGACAGCATTAACCCCTAAATGTGACAGTTATAACAGTCCATGTTTTTCAAGCTGGAAGACCTGCCAACCAATGAGAGATGTACAAATTTGTCAAGCCGCCTGTAGGTGATATGTGTCCGGGGGTGTGAGAAGCTCTGCAGAAATGTCGCTTTGTTGCCAGTTCACATTCTCCTAACTCGTGAAAGCCCCGAATAAGTGTATTTAGTTTATAGAACAACTGCTTCTTGTTTCCTCACAAATTTAAAACCTGAATGTATATGTTTTGGAAAAATGTCTTGTCTTATTTGAAAGGAGTTATTAGTATTGTTTTTTTTCTCCAAATGTTGAAAGTAAACTTGTAAATGTGGAAAACAACATTTTTTATCCTCCAAACTTCGTTTAGCCTCATTGAAAAGTTGGAAGTATGTTATTAATAAAGTCAATAAACTGATACAACTTTCATCAAATGATGACATGGATTTTCCTTGTTTATTGAGCAGTGGTCCCAAACATGGAACATCATTTCACTTGTCAACACAACAGTAGGTGACAACGCTCCTAAAACATCTTGTCAGATTTCACACTGATTAATTTCTGTGGAAGAGTAATTCTGTACCATTTAGCCTATTTTCTTTCAAAACATTTCAGCCATGTTTGAATTGAGCTGATAAGGGATGTTGAGAGAATCATCATGCACAGACAAAATGGCTGCCTAGGGGTTATCTCAAAAACACAAGTCAAGATGATTTATTTGTGTTTGTAGAGATTACTTCACGGGCTCATTCTTGATTTAAAATATTAACTTAAATTTTGGTGTGTCGATATCATCACCTAACATCAAATATTTGTAGCAGGAAACTGTCATCAAAAACAAAAAGTATTTACTATACAGTCCCTAAGTATTGAATTATATTTTTTCATTGTCAGAAAATCTTTTAGAAAGACTTGATGTGTTTAAACAGCAACTTAAACCCCTAAATCGCATCACATTCTTGCCAAGGAAAGTTGGCCCTGTGGGCATCTTTACTAAACCATTATCAAATTTATTTTTGCTCCAAATAAACATTTTCTGATAGCAAATGCCATAGTGAGATGGGCCTATATAACTGGAGCACATATAAGATGGTTTATGTGAACAGAAATGAATTCAGCCTGCTGTTTAGCTTCATGAGCCAATCACGAAAGGTTGAATCTATGTGATTGTAATTCGGGACTAAATACATACAGTGCATTGATCCCATGAACACAACTGAGATGATGTTGCAGAAGCTCCCGACAGAAATAGACAAGAACGTTCCACAACTGTTCTCCACAAATATCGTTAACGATTCCTTTTTTTGCAAATATACATCCCAGTTGTAGGATCTCCCTGAAGCCAATGTTTTTCCTCTGCTAGAAATCACGACAATCATATTCAATTGCATTGATACAGTATTGACTGAGAAAGAACTGTTTTGTATTTAAATAAATGATTATTCCTTTATGTTGGAGAAATCAATTTGTCATGCTTTTATTTGGCTATTTCATCTACATCTTGGCAATTCCTTCATGGCTTAGAATCGTTTTGTTGCTCACCCTTCCTCCACAATGGTGATTAGTTCCTGCAAGCAGTAAATGATTTGGTAAATGTTTCGTGATTTTCTTGTCTCTGAATACGGGTTTGCTTGGTGTGAGAAGTCCATGTGGCAACGTCGCCATCGGTTACCAGCAATAAAATTATGCTCCAGACTTCTTCCAACCACACTGGAACCGTATCAAGTTTGACAGATCACATCCTCTTGGACTGGGGACAGTGGGGTAGCCCAGTGGTTAAAGCATTCGCTTGTCATGCTGAAGATCTGGGTTTGATTCCCCAAATTGGTACAATGTCTGAAACCCATTTCTAGTGTCCCCCGCCGTGATATAGCTGGAATATTGCTAAAAGCAGAGTAAAGGGACTGTTCAGGGACTTCTTAGGTTGATCCTGATCCTGACTTCCCTTCTCTGTATCCTTGGTTCTTCTCTTCAACTGGGCCTGTGGTTTCATTTCCTTCACATCCTCCGTGAGGTCTGCTGGCATGATACTGTGTCACGATTATACTGACAGACTAATGTGTTTTTCTGAGCATTCAGGGAATGTCTTGGTAATCATGTGTTTGAGAAATTACTTATCAAATTCATTGAAGAGTTCTGAAGGAAATATTTAGAAACGAAATTAGAAAATTTATGACCCTATGCCATAAAGAAGACATGTATCCTACGATTCGGCTTGTCCTTGTCCTGTGATTGGCTGACTGTCTGTCTGTGTGTATGATTAACCTGTTTGCAGTGGACCTACTCTCATCAGTTTCGCAATAAACTTGTCCGATGAGATCTCCATGCTTGCAGTTTACATTTGTGGTTTTAGTGGAGGCAGGATTCCCTCAGCAAATCACTTTCCCGGGCCACAGAAACACAATCTGCTCCTTTCTTTCTTAGTAGTCAAACTCCATTGGTGAAGATGTGACTGACCTTTGTCCATCCACTTCTGATTGAAGAGCATCACTTGTACATATAGAGAAGTCTGTAGTAAAGACTGTAGTAAAGACTGTAGTAAAGACTGTAGTAAAATGTGCAGTTCTCCGTCAAGCTTCAGGTAGCTTCTTTAATTGTGAGGTTGTCGATGAGCGACAGTGACGCTAGTTTGGTGGAGGTTCAATTTACCAGAAATATGTTAAGCCAGTTAAGATCACCTTGACATGTTGCTATGTTTGGTTTGGAAATTACACGGTGTGGAAATGACAGGTTTGGTGGCTAAAGATAACTTTGAAAGGAAAACAGACTGCTGCATCTGAAATTATACGCCAACAAAAACAACAACTAAATAACACAATTTGCAAATCATTTTCAACTTTGAACTGATTGTTGTGTTGATTTTGACACTGATGATCACTGTGATGACCATGACAGTTGTAGAAATGTGTTGTGTGGGAGACATCTACAAGTACAGCAGGGCAGTTGGGGTGACAGTCAGTAGGCATGGAGTATTCGATGATTATTATGATGATAATATCTGAGCTTTCAAACTCGAATTATTAATATCGTTGTTATCATTACAGAAGCATTGACAGGAATGACCCAAACAGATTTTTTGCAATATCAATACAAATTATGTATATTTAAGATGTGATGTCAAGACCTGCCTGTTCACTGTCTGTGTTTATTTTCAGCTGACCAAACTGAAGGTCCAGGAATGCAGTCAGTACAAAACCTGTGGTGAATGTCTAGGTGCCAAGGACCCCTACTGTGGCTGGTGCTCCCTGGAGAACAAGTGAGTACATCACACACTTTGATTACATGGGTCACGGTAGAGGTGCTTGTGCAGGACTGCAAGGAGGAGTACACCAACAACTGTAGCAGATCCTGCTCAACTGATACTGGTGACAGAATTACTGGCAAGACCTGGATTTCTTCACATGTTCCTGTGTGACTATCATCGTATAGCCCATGATGGACTCATAGTAAAATGGCAACATTAAGTACAAATGATGGCAGTTGTGACTCGCAGAGAATAAGGGAATGAACTTCACAGACTCACAACTTGATGATAGCTAGTAATTATTATCAGTAATGAAATGATGCATCTTTCAGTGTAACTGCTTCTTGCTCCAATATTATGCTATAAAGTCTGATACGTCTCTTCAAACTGACATGTCAAGACAGTTTCTGTGTATACAGGTTTGTATCTTGTGACATTTTGAAACTGGATGATCTCCCCTTGTCACCCTGACCTCTCATCCATCATCTTACTACAGCAGTTTCTATGCACCCACCTATCTGTTCACTGATAGGAATGACTGATTACTTTAATTTTGGTATTTTCTTTCACTATTTTGTCTGTAAGTTACTTATGTGCCTATCACACAAACGTATTGAGAAGCCATGACAGGTGTTGATTTCTCCCTCATTTGAAGGTTTGTTTGTGTTATTTAGTGTTTGGTTGCACTGTTATGAAATGTCATCAATCTAAGCTGTCCCTTATGTGTCCTTGCATTTCTCAGGATTAATATGTAAGTACTCTTATGTTGTCCTTGTACATCTGTTGTTTGGCTTACTTGTCAAATATGTAGGTAAAACTTGAAAATGGGAACTAAAACACTTTTTGTTTTGCTGTTTCTACAAATTCAAATTTGATAAAAATTCTAAAATCTTTATAAAAAATCAAATCGATTGCGCCCTTTTCAATTTGATCATTTATATAAACAAATCATCGAAACGTTTGCTGCCATAGATAATCTGTGTTAGAAAGTGCCAAGTGTGATTGCCCCAGCTTTGTGCTTGTATGTTTAGTTTCTTGGAACAGACACCCAGAACCAGTCAATGTTGTCTTTGTTTCCAAAATCTATTTTTCTTTGATATCTATGTTGTTTATTTTTATCCTGTTTCAGTTTTCATTGTCAAACCACATGTTACACCAACTTGAAACACGTGTCAAGGTATCTGATTATCCCCCTTTGTTGACTCTCCTTTCTATCTGTATCTTCCCCATCAGCAGCGACCACACATGATAAACACACGTGGATTGAAGAAGTCATTGTTTCAGTGGCCCTGACCACAGATGACAATGGAACAGTTTCAATGCAGCATGACATTCAAGACCGTTTTGTGATAAAGGAAAAGAATATCGATGTCAGGGAAAATAGTCGGAAGTTGAAATACTCTTGTTCCTTGCTAAGCTACTTGTCTAGTTGTATGTATCAATGCTCTGTGGTAGAATTAGGCATATCTTGTGACAGTTGAGAGCATGGCCGTGCACTGTCACATATTGATTGACGAGGAGTCTTGACGAGAATGTTCAGGCGTCAATATCGCCTCCGTCGAGTGACAAGTTTGTGTCTTAAGTTGACATGTCACCGAGGATCTAGTGCTGTCACAAAGTGCTTGATAGCCTTGTGTTTTATCAAGCATTTTACTTGTGTGATGTTGCCACTAATGGAGTTGGCGTTGTCCACGATGGCGGCCATGGAGAAGGAGATGTTGAAACTCAGACAAGCAGTTCCTGCCGATAGTGCTGATGTGACCTGTGTCTTAATGACCCCTTAAGTCATATTGCTGTGGCGGCATAATTAAATTAGTAGCACATTGCACAACATACTGCTTCTTCCCTTCCTTGAAATCTGGTGAGCACATCATACCGAAGGTTTTGTTTTGTCAATTAAGATAATTATCCTACAATTTTGACATTTAGGTACTACACTTTTTATAGATTAGTAAATTTCATGGTGTAAGCAGATTGCATTAGATGCTCAGCAATTCATCTTTTTATCTTCATAAATTTTCAATAATAACATGCTATTTCATTTGATATTTTTATGAAATTATGTAGATTTATGTTATTTTCAACAAAAGAATTGAACAAAATGTGTCATGCCATTAAGGTTTGAGATAGAGACACACCACTGTTAAATGTAATAATTAGATCATCGGGGTTTTCTATAAATCATAATATAAAAAATACACAAATCATGAAAGAGTGAAGTCTGTTGCTGAAGAAATATTATTTAGATACATGGTCTCGTGTTGGTTATGTTATGATAAATGAGAATTAGGGGGAGGAAATTGGCAAATTTCTTTGTCATTTGTGGACAGGGTGGACAAAGCTGGTTGTCGACATCGTTGAGTGATGTTCCACAATGGCGAGGTTGCACGTCATGGAGAAAGCCATCCACAGTCAACTACGGCAAGTGCTCGTTAATAAAGAAATGGCTCTCTATCGGACATGGCTCATTGGGCGCCAATGAAGAAAAGATTGAATTGAAATTATCACAGAGCTTTCAAATCAAAGGAAATTAAAACTTTTGCCACATGATATGATTTTTCTGATAGACATTGCAATTTTTAGATCCATAGGGCTAATGACAGTGGTTGTGTTATAACGTGTTGTTTTGAAATGGGTGAATCATCACCATTGTCTGCTACTTTCCCCGAGCACCTGCTGCCGAGCCTGTGTCAATTAATAGTTTACTATTTTGCACATATTGATGAGCAATTTCTGGGAATCAATTATGAATTATCAGTTCTTTCATGCAGACCGAGTGACGTAATTCCTGCTTTGTGCCAGTGCAGTTCTTGTGACAATGGCTGTCTGAGGTTGTGAAGTGGGTTTTGTGTGCTGGGCCCAGATAGGTTGAAGGAGAACTGAGGGATTATTACACTTTGTGTGATATAAGTGTTTATAAACTCCATCACGACACTCTACAATCATTGTCTTGTTTCACAGACGAGATATGCTGAAGATATATTGTATGGCAGCCCCCTTGTACTGTCAGAGTGAACTGTAGTCTGTTGGCGCCATGGCGGTAAATGTCTGTGACCATTGTGTCACTCTCACCTCCTAAAATTAAACTAGAATCTCCTGTAATGGGTTTTGAATTGCAGATTTTCTTAGATTGTGATCCTTGGCCTGTCAAACATCTACAACCTCACTGGCTCACTCTGTCACTCATGTACTCAACCACTCACTCAGTCTCCAACTCACTCACTCACTCACGCACTCTTGTCTTTCCTTGGGACTGACTGACTGAGTTTGGATTTACGCCGCTTTCAGCAATATTCCAGCAACATCACGGCGAGGGACACCAGAAATGGGCTTCACACATTGTACCCATGTGGGGATTCGAACCCGGATCTTCAGGCGTGACGAGCCAACGCTTTAACCACTAGGCTACCCCACCCTTTCCTCGGGAAGTAAGTTGCTGTGCAGTCCTGTTCAAACTGGTGTCAACTCACTCACACATAGCAGCCTGGACTGAAACTTGTGCTCAATGACAGTCCTCCATAACAAGGGATGGACTTGATGGACTTGTTGTGATAGCGATGGTATGTTGTGCCTATGAATTAAGTGGATATCACTTGGTGATATTTCATTAACAACCTCGTCAAGGTTAAAGACCTTTGCTCATCGATCATGTATCTGATCAATGTACCAGTACAACAGTGGGTTTTAGAACGAATGTTGAAGTTTACCATCCAGCAAATATTTGATGGTAACATTGACCTAATTTGATACATTTGATCAAACAATTTCTAATAAATGGCCCGCTGGGAGTCAACACTGAGGCATTTGTTGGAATATTAATTGGCAGATGGACGTGACATATGCCAGATCATAGGATCAGCTAAATGCTTCTTTGACGTGAATTCACTGTCACCAAATAGACTTACATTGAATTAAACACAACATACAACCAGGATTGGCTTGAAACGTCACACCTTGGCTATGTAACGATGGTTTGTGTGTACTATTGTTATGCAAACCTGACCACCTCACAACATATTTCTGAGTGCTTGTATAAATTTGCCCTCTAATAATGTCGTTTCAATTGATTCTTTTCCCCCAATTTCTGCATTTAATTGATAGATAGCCATTGGCCAACATTAGAAAATCCTGTTTTCAAGTGTGGTTATTTTTCAGAATGGAGGTTCCTCAAACAGACTTGTCTTTTTGTTGAAAAATAGATATTTTCAACCCTTTATCACTGAAGAGAAAATCCCATATTTCAAACAGTGTTATAAGGGAGGAAGGGTGTTTGTCAAACTGATAATGGAATTTTCAAGAAAAACAATGAAAAAATATGTTCTCCAAAGGAGGTATTTTACATTTCAGAAAAAGTAGAGTCTTTGTAAGAACTGTTGAAAAATCTGTCCATCTTCTCCAATCTTGATTTAATAAAGGTTGTACAGTTTCAACCTCTGATTTAAATGTTTTTCCTTAATGATGCCTTGTAATTCAATGCACATCAGATGTGCTTTACAAATAACCTCATCCTTCAGATGATTTCAAAATAGGCTTAGAAGCAAGCAAGACATGTCCTGACAGAGGCCTTGGAAGGTCCATATGAGTAAACGAAGATGGTTGAGTTGACAAGGAGGTTTTTTAGGAGAAGTTGGTAAAGTCACTAAATCTGTGGTCTTAATTAAAACACAAGATTGCGAGATTTACACGAATGTCTTCTGAAGCCTTAATATTGTCCAGAAAAAGTTTGTTCATAGATGGAAGGAAGAGAGAGTCAACTTTGATCAAAGCTTGTTAAGAAATCAATCCTAGCTTATGATCAGGAAGGATACAGGCCCTAAAGACGTGGGAGAAAAAACTTGTTTATTGAGAAGACAGGTTGGTTGTCTTTTCTGTTCTCAAAGATAAATGACAGACAAGGAATAGAGTGATGAGCCTGAAAAATAAACAAGTTCCCGATACCAAATAGTGTAGAGGAATGAAAGGCACGAGTGAAGTGGTGGATGCAAGAATCAGGCTCAACCCAGAGATAAAAGAGAGGATTTAATTAGTTACCATTGAAGTTTTTTGAACAGACGTCTGACTCCAGAAATATTGCACAAAAGTCAATACAGTTTGGGTTACTATGTAAGATTTGACATTTCTCATTTTGAAGGGATGGTGGAAGCAGAAAGAATTCCAAGCTTTATTGTTCTATGGTAGATGATTTGCCTGGAGAATGGAAACAACTGCCTTTATTAAATACAATCTAATTCCTCTGACCTGTGGGATAGGCTGAAATCATCTATATGAGTGGGTATTGTTTTATGCCACTTCCAGCAATATTGTGACAGAGGACACCAAGAACTGGTTCCAGTCTTTGCTGGATGACCTTTGTGGGGAGAACATGCTTGTAAGGCTCCCAAACTCATTCACTCTGTAACTGTGAATCTCTAATTCAGTAAAAGTTGTTGTTCTTAGGTTTGTGTGGCTTTTTCCAAGGCAAACTGGACCTCCTTCTTGTGTTGGAGCAGTTGGATGGGGTGGGTAGGGGTAGGGGGTTATTTCTTCCACCCGAAGGCGTGGTGGGGTAGCCTAGTGGTTGAAGCATTCACTTGTCATGCCAAAGACTCAGGTTCGATTCGACTCACTCACTCTTCCACCCTAAGCAGGGGCGATGGGGTAGCCTAATGGTTAAAGCGTTGGCTCGTCACGCCGAAGACCCGGGTTCGAATCCCCACATGGGCACAATGTGTGAAGCCCATTTCGGGTGTCCCCCGCCGTGATGTTGTTGGA